GATGTTATAATAATTTAAGTCGCTGCGTTGCAGGGCATGATGCCAGATGGACAGGAAATAGCAGTAAAACGATTATCGGAAGGATCAAAACAAGGCCTTCGTGAGCTAAAAAATGAGCTATTATTAGTTGCCAAGCTTCAGCACCGGAATCTGGTGAAGTTAATAGGCGCATGCCTCAATGGAGAGGACAAGCTACTTGTGTATGAATATATTCCAAAGAAAAGTCTTGATGCCTTTATTTTCGGTACATGAGTTTCTACTTAATTTCTTATGCCAAGCAAACTTTGGATTGACAAATACTAGTACTTTGAATTGTTCTTTAAATAATGAAAATGGTTGATAAAAAATAAAATCAAGCTTTTCGTGAAGCTACTATAAATTAGATTTAATATATACATTCAATGGTGGTGATAAGATAATACAAACATCAGTTCATGTCAATTAAACAATGGAGCCGACGGAACTGGGATGGAGCGGCTAGGGCCTGGCGACTGGGATGGCGACGGGCGAGAGCCACCGCCGACGCCTGAGTCTCCGCCGCCCTTCGCGCCAGCTCAGGAGTCGGGCCTGGCTGATGCCGGAGGAGGATCATCTCCGCCGCTGATCTGCCAGGCGATTCCAGCCAGGGACATGGCGCTTCCGCCGCCGCCGCCGCTGCGGCTGTTACCGGGATCTCCAAGCCCTTCGGATGGGATCCGGCAACCGCCCGCGGTGGATTCAAATCCGCGAGTTGATCCATCCCCTTCCCCGGTTTCTTCTTCGACGGAGGACGAGGATCTGGATCGGGGATTCAAATATCCTACTAAATGGAAGGCTCGTTTTCGGGATAAGCATGCGATGGGGCGATGGATCAGTGGCATGATCTACTCACACCCGTCTCGTTGGACGACGATTTGTGATGATGAAGGAGATATTTTGGCTGGAAGGCATCTATCCGCGGAAGAAGATCTTCATATTGGTATGTGTTTCGTTATTGATTTGTTTCACATCGAGGTTATTGAGTGGGTGCAGGTACCCCCGGAGGTTGAAGAACAAATTGTCACTGTTGATCTCACGGAGGACTCCGATGGATCAAAGCCGACGCAAAGGGCAACGCGGGCGACACGGGAGACGCCCGTGGCGGCCACTATGGGGCTGCCGCCGGCGACCATCTCCGGTGTGGGGTGCGCCGGTAGTAGGTTTTGGGCTCTCGCGGAGTCTGAACCAGAGGACGAAGATGACGGGGACAGCGCCGGAGGTTCACCGGTAGCCTACTCGCCGACGCCGTCGTCGGTGATATGCGAGGCTTTCGACCTTGGCTACTCGGAAGACGATGTGGCTGCCATAGTCGATGGCAGTGTGCCAGTTGATGATCCAGCACGGCAAGGTTTGGGACCAGAGGATAAGATCGAGATCGTGCGTCGGATGGTTCATAGGCGAACGGCGGCAGCGGCGATCCGGCCATGGAAGGGGACGATCCCAAAGGTAAGTCTCCCTAAACCAACCTTGTCCGATTTCATTACTGAGGGGTCGTGGATAGTGGTGAAGAGGAAGAAGTCTCGGCGATCATTGGCGGCGCAGGCGCCGGCGCCGGCGATCGACAAAACCAGCGACATCCGTGCCGATCGGATCTCGCGTTTGAATTTTTTGCTTAACGCTGATGGGCTTCAACCGGAAGAAGGTTCGGACGGCCCATCCGCTGTTGCATCTTTGGGCCAAAGGTTTTTTACTAAGGTTGGGCCGGGACTAGTTGGGTTACAGACCCAGGCAAAACCGGCCGACCTCGACGTACAGGAGATCACGTCGGATCGACTACCATCTCATGCACGATCATCGTCCATCTACCGATACGCATACACTAGGGTTCGCCGCTGCGGGCACGTTGGATTTCCGCCGGCTGTGGTGCGTCGGCTCAAGCGAGCTCCTGCGGTTGTTACCGACGTCATGCCGCCCAAGGCCCCGCCGCCGGCCAAGGGACCGCCTCCAACGAAGCCGCCTGCGAGGGCTGCGCCGGGGGGTCCGGCTGCGACTGTGCCTGCCTCGGCTGCGGCTTCGACACCGGCGCCGGCTGCGCCGGCTGTTGCCAGGGCTGCGGCGCAGCCACAGCATGGGGCCACACAGCCGCCGCCGCAACGACCTTGGCCTTGGCAAATGGCTGCCGGCCGGGGAGGGGCTGCCAATGGTGTAGCCGGCCGGGGAGGTGCTGCCAATGGTGCAGCCGGCCGTGGATCGGGTGTGCTTGCGGGGGACAGCCGCAATCCTCCCCGTGGTCAGTGGGGAGATGATGGATACGACGCCTACGGTCAGGGTCTTCACCGAGGTTCGTCGTCCACCGGTGGTGGGCGAGGCTACGACTGGACGGATCATGGTAATGCTGGCCGGGGCTTTCAAGGACCACCGGGGAACTTTGTTGAGGGTGCGGTTGGCCCGAGCCGTTTCCGTGGCCGCTTCCGTGGTGGGCGCGGTGGATATAGGCGCCCTCCACGTAACTTGCCCGGTGCCGCAGCCGCGGAAACTTCTGAGATGGCCACTGATGAGGCGGGTCTAACCCAGGCAGTGGTGGAGACGGTTAAGGCTCTCGCTGATGTGTCTGTACCGATGATAGCTCAATCGGATGATGCGGAGTCTGATAAAGGTTCGGAGAAGGCCGGAGGTGACAAGTTGTCCAAGTGGGCGGCTAAGAAGAAAAAATTAGTCTGTTTCCGGTGCGGGGAGACGGGTCACTTCATGGTTGACTGCTCTGCTGAGTTATGTGATATTTGTCGGAAACCTAAGCATGTTGCGGCTGAGTGTCCGCTTCTTCTCGGACCCAAACCGACACTTAATATCTACGGGCTCTGTTGCTCTGAGTTGATGTTCTTTGAGTCACCAAGTGTGGCTTCGGTGGCTCCTGTCGTTGAAACCTCATTCCCGGGGGTGGTTAAGGTGGTCACCGGACCGCTCACTGAAGCCCAGATAATTCAGCAGTTGCGGGAATTGGCTCCGGGGAATTTCAAATGGTCCTTGTTGAAACTTTCTGATTAGTCTTACAAAGTGGAATTCCCTTCTAAAGAGGATCAGAAGAGGATTCTCAAGTTTGGCTTGAGTCGAGTTACTGGAACTAGTTTTGTGTTGCAGTTTGATGAGTGGAAAAAGAAGGAACCGCAGGGCACACCACTGACTCAGATCTGGGTTCGATTTTCGGGGGCACCTTCCGAGCCCTTGGATGATTTCTTTGTCACGTGGAGCTTGGGGTCATTGCTCGGTAAGACGGAGCAGGTGGATATGCCTTTCACTCGTGCTCACGGTGTAGCTCGTTTGTTGATTAGCGTGGCTAACATTCAGTTCTTGCCGGATGTGGTCAGATGGTGTTATGAGGGTATTGCTTACATGTTAAATGTCGAGTATGAGGACCCGGACTTGTTTCAGGATTTTGAGGAGCTGCTACCTATGGATACCTCTGAGGGGGGAGGTGCTTCTGGGAACCGTGGAGATGACGCACCCGGTGATGGTGACAGGGGTTCCAGGCCTGTGGATTCGTCTAAGCCAGCAGAGTCTGCTCAGGGGAAAACACCGGTTTCGGCACCGTCCAACATGCTTCAGCTTGGCTCCGTAGGGGCTTTCTCTGCGCCTCCTCGTTTTTGGAGTGATCGCGTGGAGTTGGCTGATCCGTCTGAGCATGTGCCACTGGTGATTTCGGAGGTCTTGAGGGCTGAGGAAACGGACAGACTTTCTGCTCAGGAGGTTGTTTCTCCTCCTTCATCGCCGGTACCGCGGCTGGACATGACGACTCTTTTGGACGACTCGGCGGAGCTGGCCGGGAGTACGGTCAGGTCCTTCTCTGCTTTGCCGGTGCTCCGATCGTCGGGACTCAGGGCCAGCGCAGTAGTAATGACCACTCCGGAGGCTCGGCGGGCCTCGGATGGGTCTAGCGGGCAGGAGGCCCGCGCACCGTGCTCTCCTTCCTTGCCGGCATCAGAGGCGGCTACTGATCTTCTGGGAGGGTCGGCTGTTGGTCAAAGACCGGTGTCTTCACAGGCCAGTCCGGCCTCCCTGGCTAGGGAGGCATCCTCACCTCTTCACGCCGCCGTTAGTGCGCCAGGGCAGGGGGTTGTCGGCTCACCGGCCCCCACTGTGTTAGGTGGGCTGGGTGGAGCCACTGCAGCTACTGCCTCCTCCTCGGTGCGCGGCGTGTGGGCTGCCCCAGAGCCAGCTGCTGGTGGGTCGCCTGTTGACGGGCTGCTGGCGGCGCCGCCGACTTCTTCTCCTGCGCTGGTGACGGCGACCCGGGGCGTCGCTGTGGGGGGAGGGGCAGGAGGTCTCTCCCCTTGCAGGGCTTCCTCCGAGGAGGTCATTGCCTTTGTTGGTATCCTGGACCCTGTCACCCAGGGAAGGCGGATCAGCGGGAGGTTGCAGGAGCAGCCGGACGTCGACGACATTCAACTGCGGTGTGCTTTGAGGGCTGCCAAGTTGCAGGACGTCGAGACCACCACCGGTATGTCTGTTATTAAGTCAAATTCCATTTTGCATTTCACTGATAATGAAATCATCCATAATGCAAATCAACTAGGAATTTCACTTGGTAATAATGATCTTCAAATTGCTAAATCAGTTAACGACATTCTTGATTTGGAAGCTGAGCGTGCGGTAGATATGATTCGTCACATAGCTGCAGTTAAACCAATGAATGATTCGGAGATTGATGCGCTTGGGGTTAGGGTTCTCGATGGTATGTGTGCCGATCTTGACCCTGCATGTCTCGAGGCAGAGGAAGACTCACAGCCTGAGACGTCTCTTCATGTAGATGAGCCTTTTGTGCTAGAAGTTGAGAATGAGGGCCATGTTCAGGTTGATGGTCAAGTGAAGCCTAAGCGGACATGGAAAAGAAAGGTTTATCCAGTTTCCGCAGTGCGTAGGAGTGCTAGGATCCGTACTGCCAAAAAATTTCATGATGACTTATGAGAGGCATTTTCTGGAATAGCAGAGGTCTTAGAGACTTGGCTAAAAGGAGGTTTCTAGCGGATGCTTCTCTTGAACATCATTTAGATTTTATTGCTTTGTCCGAGACTGGAAGAAGCAATTTCACTAATCAATTTCTTGCCACTTTGTCTGGGGGGGGTAGATTTTGATTGGCATTGCCTCCCACCTCGGGGAAGATCCGGCGGGGTTTTACTTGGTGTTAAGTGTGAAACGTTGGAGGTTCGGAGCGTAGTTATGGGCGAGTTCGCTGTCAAGTTTCGGGTTAGATCTAAGGCAGATGGGTTTGATTGGGCTTTGGTGGCAGTTTACGGAGCTGCACAACCAGAACTCAAACCAGATTTCTTGGCAGATTTGGTGCGCATCTGTGGTAATGAACAGTTACCTCTCTTAGTGGGAGGGGATTTCAACATTATCCGAAGAAAAGAGGACAAGAATAATGCCAATTTTGACGGTCGATGGCCCTTTATGTTCAACACTATCATTGAAAGTTTGGATCTCAGAGAGATCGAGCTCTTGGGTAGGAAATTTACTTGGGCTAATTCGTTACCGGTCCCGACCTTTGAGAAACTTGACCGTGTGCTAGCTAGTGTCGAGTGGGAACAGAAGTTTCCCCTGGTAACGGTGCAGGCCTTGACTCGAGGTGTCTCGGATCATACACCGCTACTAGTCGACTCCGGAGTTCAAAATTTCGTGGGAAACAAGAACATTTTCTCGTTTGAACTTGCCTGGTTTGAAAGAGAAGGGTTCCTCGAGTTGCTAGCTAGAGAGTGGGTTATGGACTCGGGAGGTAGGACGCCTATCGACAGATGGCAATCCAAGATTCGTCATCTCCGTCGATTCCTTCGTGGCTGGGCTAAGCACACGCATGGGATTTATAAGGTGGAGAAGGACAGACTTCTTCTAATCATTCAAAACTTCGAAGCTAAAGCAGAAACCTCTATCTTGGATTCCAATGAGTTGCAGCTTAAAAAGCTTCTCCGTGAGGAGGAATTGAAGTGGGCATTGCGAGCCAAGGTTCGCAAAATCGTAGAAGGCGAGGATAACACTCAATTCTTTCACATGATTGCGAATGGGAAGCATCGTAAAAAAAGAATTTTCCAATTAGAACAAGATGAAGGGACGATAGTTGGTCAGGATAATCTCAAAGATTATATTACCAATTATTATAAACAGTTGTTTGGTCCCCCGGTAGAGACTTTCGTGTCGTTGGATGAGTCTAGGGTTGAGGATGTGCCTCAAGTTGAGACTGCTGAGAATGAGCTCTTGACTGCTCCTTTCTCGGAGAAAGAGGTGTTTGAGGCTATTACTCAAATGGAGAACAACAAGGCTCCAGGGCCGGACGGGTTTCCGGCGGAGTTTTACAAGAAGTGTTGGCATTTTATCAAGGGAGACTTGATGCCCATGTTTCACGAGTTTTTTGAGGGGCAGCTTCAATTGTTCAAGCTAAATTTTGGGACGATAACTCTTCTGCCTAAGAAGACAGAGGCTGTTCGGATTGAGCAGTTTCGACCCATTTGTTTGCTAAATGTGAGTTTCAAAATCTTCACTAAGGTGGGGACAAACAGGCTTACACAAATAGCACACACAGTAGTTCAGCCGTCCCAGACAGCTTTCATGTCGGATAGAAACATCCTGGAAGGGGTTGTTGTCTTGCATGAAACGCTCCATGAAATCCACTCCAAAAAACTTGATGGCGTAGTTTTTAAAGTGGATTTTGAAAAAGCATATGATAAAGTCAAATGGACTTTCCTTCAACAAGCTTTGCGTATGAAAGGTTTTGATTCGGCCTGGAGAAATCAAATTGACTCTTTAATGCAAAAAGGGAGTGTCGGGATTAAGGTGAATGATGACGTGGGTCATTATTTCCAAACACACAAGGGGCTACGGCAAGGAGACCCTATGTCACCGATCCTGTTTAACATAGTGGCTGATATGCTGACTATTTTAATAGGTCGGGCAAAGGATGCAGGACAGGTAGGTGGCCTGGTTCCACATCTAGTAGACGGCGGGATATCCATTTTTCTATCATATTTATGGAGCATGATATAGCGAAAGCAAGGAACATGAAGCTGCTGCTTTGCTTATTTGAACAATTGTCTGGGCTTAAAATCAACTTCCACAAGAGCGAATTGTTTTGCTTTGGAAGAGCAAATGATGACCGGGACTCGTATCAACAATTGTTCGGATGTGAATTGGGTTCTTTACCATTTACGTATTTAGGTATACCCATTCATCATCGTAAGCTAACTAATATTGAGTGGAAATGTATTGAGGATCGTTTTGAAAAGAAACTGAGCTGTTGGAAAGGAAAGCTCATGTCATATGGAGGTCGATTAATTCTAATTAATTCGGTCCTTACTAGTATGCCTATGTTTCTGTTATCCTTTTTCTTGGTTCCGGTCGGAGTTAGGAAAAGGTTAGATTTCTATCGATCTCGATTCTTTTGGCAAATTGATGAGCTTAAAAGGAAGTATAGACTTGCGAAGTGGGATATTATCTGCAGACCTAAGGACCAAGGTGGCCTAGGTATTGAAAATCTGGAAATCAAAAATATATGTCTCCTTAGCAAGTGGCTTTTTAAGTTGTCATCTGCGACGGAGGCCACTTGGGCACAGATTTTACGCAATAAATATCTCTTTGCTAAAACCTTGGCTCAGGTGACTGTGAGACCTTCCGACTCGCCCTTTTGGAAGGGTTTGATGAGAGTTAAACAAATCTTTTTCAACAAGACTAAATTTATTGTTGGGAATGGTACCACGACGAGGTTTTGGGAGGATACGTGGCTTGGGGAGACCCCACTAGCACTTCAATATCCTTCTTTGTATAACATAGTCCAACGTAGAGGTGCCTATGTTGCTACTGTTTTACAATCCGTTCCCCTCAATATCAACTTTAGGCGGACGCTTGTTGGAAATCGTTGGGAGGCCAGGCTCCATCTGGTTCGTCGTTTAATGGATGCCCGGTTGTCTTCTCACCCTGATCAGTTGCATTGGAAACTTACTAAGAACGGTGTGTTCTCGGTCAAATCAATGTATCAGGATGTCATTAACTCTACTGTCATCCCAACCTCCTTACATGTTTGGCAAGTTAAGGTACCCTTACGTATTAAAGTGTTTATGTGGTTTGTGCATAAACAAGTCATTCTGACTAAGGATAACCTTGCAAAACGTAATTGGGTAGGTCCGTCTCGATGTAGCTTCTGTGATCATTCTGAAAACATCAAACACCTCTTTCTCGATTGCCCATTGGCTAAGATTCTGTGGCGGTCGGTTCATATTGCTTTTAATATTAGTCAGCCCACCTCTATTAGTATGTTATTTGGAACATGGCTAGATGGGGTGGATTCTGACATTGCAAGACACATTCGGGTTGGCGTTTGTGCACTTTTGTGGGCAATATGGAATTGCAGAAATGACTTAGTCTTTAACCGATCAACAAACATTCACTTTTTGCAGGTTATCTTCAGGGCCACGGCGTTCATCCGTATGTGGTCGCTACTCACTCCGACGGAGGCCAGGGAGCGTTTGGTTACTGCGTCTACCCGATGGGAGATGGTAGCTCGGGATATTTTCAACCGGTTTGGATGGCGGTCATGTAATAGGATAGACATGTAGTGATCCTATTGTTTTGCCAGCCGGTTGTGGCTTTGGGCTTTTCTTATTTACAGATTTTGTTATAGTTTCTACTATGACCCTTCGGTACTTTGCTACTGGTTTATCCTTTTAATAATATGAGCCGTATGCATCTTTCGGATGCAGAGGCTGGGGCACGTCCCCTTTTCCAAAAAAAAATGTCAATTAAACAAATCATTGTGTGCACATCAGTAGAACAAACTTATAATTTGGATTCTCGAGAACTGATTTTATTTATTTAACGTGAGCAGGAACTTGGCAAACTCATGATTTTGTTATAATAAATAAAAAAGGAGCTTGTTAACTTAATTGTTTGAGTAATCAAAATATCTACTTTGCTCTTCCACATGCATCTTTGCCACTTTAAAGTTAGTCCCAGTGTGCATGTTTGCATGTACGTTTTGTGTCCCCTGATTTATTTGGCTTACAATGCCTGTTTAGGTGACGAAAAGCGTGGAAAATTAGCTTGGGATACACGATACAAGATCATTTGTGGTATTGCTCGAGGCTTGGTGTATCTACATGATGAGTCCCGTATAAAAGTTATACATAGAGATCTGAAACCAGGCAATATATTACTAGAAATGGATATGAATCCAAAGATCTCTGACTTTGGTCTGGCAAGTATTTTTGAGGGTGATCATACAAAGCATATCACAAGAAGAGTAGCTGGAACCTAGTAAGTCTATGGATTCGGTTAATCATATATATCAAAAGTTCGTAACTATCACGTTCACAAAAGAAGCAATGCTTAACTGTTTTCTATCACGTACAGTGGGTATATGGCGCCAGAATATGCTGTACTTGGACATGTTTCAACCAAATCAGATGTGTTCAGCTTTGGAATGATTATTCTAGAAATTATGACTGGGAGGAGAAACAGTGTATCCTCTGAAATGATGATGGCTGAGCATCTTTTAACTTATGTCAGTATTATATTCAGTGATTTCCAGGTCTTAAACTATGTTATGACATACTAGTAAGCTTTTTTGATGAGTCATTGCTTGTGTACAGGTATGGGAGAACTGGACCAAGGGGACAAAAGCTGAGATATTGGATCCATCATTGCAATACAACAACAGCTCTGCAAATGAGGTTCTCAAGTGTGTACACATTGGACTATTATGTGTTCAAGAGAATCCAGGTGATAGACCCGGCATGTCCAGTGTGATGCTGATGCTTGTTGGAAAGTCTACTACCTTGCCTGCTCCTTCTAGGCCTGCTTTTCTATTTAGGTTGAATGATGAAAACCATGCCCATGGTGGTCTAAATAACCGACTAGATGGCTTGAACGAATCAAATCCAACATTCAATAATTTGACAATCACAGAATTAGAACCAAGATAGCCCTGACCCCCAAGTATGTAGCTAGGGCAGAGAAACAAGAAACACCATTATTTTTGTCAATTCAGTAGGATTGTCAAATAAACATTTGTAAATCGTATGGCTAGCAAGACAGATTTAGGGGATGATAGTGTGAGAATCTAACTGGTCAAATGACAAGAGTTATGACTTATGAGGTGCAAATATGAAATTCTTCCAAAAGGAAACAAATTCAAACACGGCATTATTCGCTCATTCTGTGTGTTTTCCTTCAATTGATGGTAGAAAATCTGAGATTCTCAATGTCCCTCTCCCTCTTAATGTCTTCGTACTACCAAATTTGTCCGTCAACAGTCAAGGAAATTGCACAAACCATCTATTGAGGTCGATTTTGCATGGAATACCTACTATTCGGGTTTGTTGCACAAAACACCACAAATTGGTGTAATTCATTGCAGCTAGCTCTAATTCATCATTTCACTCCATTAAAATGTTGTAGCTAGCTCAAATCCAACATTTGACTCCGTTGACATGATTCTAGGCGGGTGGGTCCTGCTTGTAAGTGCATACGTGGCAAAAATAAACAAGTCACACCAGTCAGCCAACTAAAATGGCCAATATCTCCCAAACCAGTGGTCACATCTACGATTTACTTTTTTTATATTTTCTAAGATGTTGAATTTTAAACACCATCTTAATGAACCAACAAAATTGATGTATCTAACTTGCAATTCAAGTAAGTTGATTTTTTTGACAAAAAGACTGTAAGGGAACCCTTTATAGTATAATTGATGCAACAAACCCAAATTGCAAGTACCATACCTTGAACCTAGGTGGGTGGGAAGGCATCAACCCCTTCCCACCACTAGGCTATGCCTTAGTCTGCAAGTTGATTTTTTTTCCATATCAGTATTAGGTAGATATATAATTTATTGGAGTTTAAAAAAACATTGAATTTTAAGACAAAAACCTGAATGAGAAACTAAAACTACCAATGTCGATGGTTTTATTTGGCCAACGGATGTGGCCTCTTTTTTACAGCGTGTGCACCTATAATGGGGACCCACCCATAAAGAATCATGTCAATGGAGTCAAAACGATGAATTTGAGCTAGCTGCAACAGACTACACCAATAGGTGGTGTTTTGTGCCACAAACCGGAATAGTAGTTGTTCTATGCAAAATCTGCCTCAATAATTCACTACTGGAATCGCCGAAGATACCTAGTTCTAGATGTTTGCCGAGTTCTTTTCATCGGGTGCTCAACAATGCTACACGGTTGCCGGGTACTAACATAAATAAACTCATTAATGACAAGAAACTCGGCAACTGAGGGGATTTCCCAGTGCCATGGAAACTCGGTAAAGTCTATCATTTACCAAGCACTACGCAAAATAAACTCGGCAAACACCTGAATGATGGGACCCAAATGGGACCAGGCAACAACTATGTGACGGCGGGCAACCTTCGCCGAGTTATCCTTAACGGAGGGGATATCAACAAGGAGGGCATCGCCATCTCCAACACCTAGTACATGGAGACGCCGGCATTAACCATCCCTGCCATAATCCTCGCCACCATCCATCCCCATTCCATTGTAATACTGAACCCAAGAAGATTCCTATGTGTACTACTCCAATCTACCATTCATGTTTGTCACCGGCGTTCATATGAAGATACGAGATCCTGTTTTGAATGAATGTTGTGAAGGCCCCCCCCCACACCTGCACACACACACCATTTCCGCATTGTATGGCTATATATGGAGGATATTACTGTCATTGTAAAGGTACTGATGAAGGGATAAAGAGGTGACAGTGAAGGGGCGCGCCCCCCTGCCTCGTGGACAGGCCGGAGGTCCACCTACGTGCTTCTTCCGCCTATATATTCCCATATACCCTAAAAACTTCGGGGAGCACAATAGATCGGGAGTTCTGCCGCCGCAAACCTCCAGAGCCACCACAAACCAATCTAGACCCTTTCCGGCACCCTGCCGGAGGGGGCAATCCCTCTCCGGTGGCCATCTTCATCATCCCGGCGCTCTCCATGACGAGGAGGGAGTAGTTCACCCTCGGGGCTGAGGGTATGTACCAGTAGCTATGTGTTTGATCTCTCTCTCTCTCTCTCTCTCTCTCTCTCTCTCTCTCTCTCTCGTGTTCTTGAGGTGATACGATCTTGATGTATCGCGAGCTTTGCTATTATAGTTCGATCTTATGATGTTTCCCCCCCTCTACTCTCTTGTAATGGATTGAGTTTCCCCTTTGAAGTTATCTTATCGGATTGAGTCTTTAAAGATTTGAGGACACTTGATGTATGTCTTGCCGTGCGTATCTGTGGTGACAATGGGATATCACGTGATTCACTTGATGTATGTTTTGGTGATCAACTTGCGGGTTCCGCCCATGAACCTATGCATAGGGGTTGGCACACGTTTTCGTCGTGATTCTCCGGTAGAAACTTTGGGGCACTCTTTGAGGTTCTATGTGTTGGTTTGAATAGATGAATTGAGATTGTGTGATGCATATCGTATAATCATGCCCACGGATACTTGAGGTGACATTGGAGTATCTAGGTGACATTAGGGTTTTGGTTGATTTGTATCTTAAGGTGATATTCTAGTACGAACTCTAGGGTTGTTTGTGACACTTATAGGAATAGCCCAATGGATTGAGTGGAAAGAATAACTTTGAGGTGGTTTTGTACCCTACAATAATCTCTTCGTTTGTTCTCCGCTATTAGTGACTTTGGAGTGACTCTTTGTTGCATGTTGAGGGATAGTTATATGATCTGATTATGTTATTATTGTTGAGAGAACTTGCACTAGTGAAAGTATGAATCCTAGACCTTGTTTCCTAGCATTGCAATACCGTTTACGCTCACTTTTATCACTTGTTACCTTGCTGTTTTTATATTTTCAGATTACAAAAACCTATATCTACCATCCATATTGCACTTTTATCACCATCTCTTCGCCGAACTAGTGCACCTATACAATTTACCATTGTATTGGGTGTGTTGGGGACACAAGAGACTCTCTGTTATTTGGTTGCAGGGTTGCTTGAGAGAGACCATCTTCATCCTACACCTCCTACGGATTGATAAACCTTAGGTCATCCACGTGAGGGAAATTTGCTACTGTCCTACAAACCTCTGCACTTGGAGGCCCAACAACGTCTACAAGGAGAAGGTTGCATAGTAGACATCAAGCAATTTCTGGCGCCGTTGCCGGGGAGGCTAGGTGAGCGGAACTCACACCCCGTCAACTAAGCTCTTTTCTGGCGCCGTTGCCGGGGAGGTGAGTGCTTGAAGGTATATCTTTAGATCTTGCAATCGAATCTTTTTGTTTCTTGTTTTAGCACTAGTTTAGTTTATGAAAGAAAAAAAAGGAATTGAGTTTGTCTCATACGCTTCATCTTTTTAATATCTTTCGTGAGTATGATGGAAAGGAAAATTGTGCCAAAGTGTTAGAAGAAGAATGCATTAAAATGTTTGGCACTAAATCTTTGAATGATTAGCATGATTGCAATGTTGTTAGTATGAACTCCTTGAATATCCATGGAACTGATGATGATTGCACTAGTCATGATGAAAATATCTCCTATAAGCATGTCAATTTTTGTGGAGTGTATTGGGTTTGCAAGTACACACCAAATAGAGAAGATAGATATTGCAAGAGGCATAAGCATTTAGAAACTAAATGGTTGCAAGAAAGGCTTGATGCTTGTGCTGAAAATATAAACTTTCTTAGTCGTACTTGTGAAATTTGCAATGAACGTGATCATTTCAATATCCAATGCAAATTGTTTCAAGATCGTATCGTGTCCAAAAATTGTGATGACTTGATTTCCCTTGCGCATCATAATGAACTTAGTTTGCTTTTGGGTTATGAAGAAATGAAACGTATAACTAAGATTATGCTAGAATTTACCCTTGATAGAATTCTTAATTTTGATCTAGAAGAAATTTATATGTATTGTGCGGTGAATTGCATTGAAAATCCTTGTATTTCCAATTACATAAAGAAAAGAAAACAAATGGAAGATGAAGAGAATACTAACAAAAGGGAAGAGACTTCCCAATATCCTCCTATTATTTCTTATGCACTAGTAGAAAACAGGGCGTTTGTCCCGGTTCATAAGGGCCTTTAGTCCCGGTTCTTGAACCGGGACTAAAGGGTCATTACTAATGCCTCCCCCCTTTAGTCCCGGTTCTTACTCGAACCGGGACAGATGGGCATCCACGTGGACGCTGCGGGCAGGCCAGGCAGGGGGGCCTTTGGTCCCGGTTGGTGACATAAACCGGGACCAAAAGGCTTCCACGCGTCAGCATTTCAGTGGCTTGGGTTTTTGTTTTTTTTTTGAAAGGGGGGGGGAGGGGTTGGGGGTTTTGGGGGGGTTAATTTAGGTCTTTCATATATTGTGTTAGCTAGCTAATTAATAGAGAGAGAAGTGTCCTCTCTTATGTCCGTGCTAGGTCGACGCTACGTACTATATACATAGAGAGGCCCTCGACACGCTAGCTTGTAAGAAAATGAAGGAAACCATTAAGTACAGAAGTTCATCATGCATACCGAGAGAAGTGATCGATCAACCTCTCCTTCTCCGAGAGATTGGTCGAACAACAAGTTTTCGTATTATCTATCCGACGCTACTAGCTACATACATATACAATATGTAAGATCTCTTAATTACAATCCCCTAGCATTTGAAATCAACTTCCACATAGTATTCTCCGGCTTTATTGATGACGTGGTCAAGAAAGAATCCCGCCAATTCCTCTTGAATTGCTTTCATGCAATCTTGTGATAGGAGTTCTTTCCGCATCTGCCACGTCTAATTTGAAGAAGGGGGTTAATACATATATATGAATGAAACTCAACAGAAATGATGGTGTAATAAAATGAAATTATGAATATTATTGCTTACGCACTTCATATTCTCTTTTAGAGTAGCCCCGCTTATTTTTCAAAGTCGCGTTATAGATGAACTCGCACACGTAGTATCCACAATAATCATTTCCTTGTTC